AGTGAGGATCGACGACGCTGGGAACAAGAACAGTGGGCGAGGCGGAAATGAAGAATACTAGGACGAGAATCACGTAGACGGGGGAGACACATCGGACAACAAGTGGCATGCCAACCAATTGAAGGGAGGCCCCTGCACGTGAGCCAGACCAGTGGGAGGAGGGACGCTTCACCTAAACCGAATGTCGTGACCTACCTTGATGGCGCAATGTGGCAAAAAGAACATCCGAAGACATCATACGGGCGGCGTCACGATGCCGGTTGCAAGTTGATGCCGAGTACGCATTATATAATCATTCAAAGGGGATACAGGTGAGGCACGATAGGCGCACGACCGGCACACACGAAGAACGTATCGACGTAGAAACTGGCGAGATCGCGCTCCAAATCCACAATGACTTCGTCCCTATCATTGCCTTGGAGAGGGGAGGCGGAAACAATGGCAGATGGACACCCAGGCCACTGCATGAGGACCAGCTGCAACGCGTTTAGGGCGGTCACTCTGCGGTGCGGATGGGTGGTGAAAAGGCCCGAAGAGTTGCCGGAAGGTAGCGCATCCACCGCGCGCAACCAACCCCCCGGAAACACCGTAGCGAGTAGATCTTCTCGAACCGCTTCCTCGGCACGAGATCGGGAGATTGATGGTCTCAGGAATCTGTCCAAAGCCAAAAGCTCATAACGGAAGCCCAACTCGAAGATCTCCCAGATCACTGCGGGCGCGGAAGCCTCTGGAACGTGCTCGAAATGATGTCCATGCCAGTCCACCGGTGCGCGCATTCCCAGATCGAACTGGTGGTCTTGGAACACGCTCCCAAAAAGGTTTTTGATCTCGACCATGCGCTTTCCAGTACGAGTGGTCAAGCTGGAGTCCTCCGGGACACCGTTGAGGAAGGACCGCCAGTATTGGGCACCGACCCCAGCGGGGCGAGATCCCGGGACACGCAGCAGGTACAACCAAATAGGTCGCGCACGGACCCAATTGGTCAGATATCGGATCTGGCGCGCCTCGTCCTTGGGCCCCAAAATCAGAGCGGGTTCTGGAATCCAATACCCCCAAAGTTGATCCGCGGGTCGGGCTGGCATAGCACGGTCGACCGATAACATGGCCTCAGACCAGCTGGGGATGGCAGGCGGCATCCACTTGTGAGGGAACTCCACAAACTTGTCACGTCCACGGACCTGAGATGGGTGGGGTCCAGAAACCCTTCTACGGTCGTCTGAGCGGAGCCGTTGAGAAAGCAAAACATACAGAGCGGATGAGTTACACTTACAGGGTTTTGAGCGAAGGCTCCGTTGGGAAAGAGTGTGTTCTCCATGCGATTGCGAGCTCCGGGCAGTGCGTGAGCCGGACGCAGACCCCCCTGCGCGCCCGACGGCTTTGGCCTGGCGTATAGTGATCCCTGGACCATAGTCTTCGCCCGAGTATATGGAAGCTGTGGGAACACGGGAGATGTCGAGGTACCCATGCCCACCTTGCATCATGGAGTGGAGGTGGGCCTCCCCGACCAGGCCATGGAATAGACACCCATCGGTGCCCGGGAAACGCGCAAGTTGTAAGGTGCTAGGGGCGACGGGAGTGGTGGACCTTGCAATGCAGATTTCGCGGTGGAGTATATGGGAAGTGCGCACATACCAGACTGGGATCCCTGCCCCATATAAAAGCTGGACATGCTGAGGCTCGGACGACCAAGCGCCCATCAAAGGCAGATGTGCGCATATTGTTTCGTCTGCGGACGAAACAGATCGCAATCTCCATTGGTACTCCAGATACGCTGAGGCCATAAGCCAATGCCGCTGGAGCTCGGTGACTTGTAGAAGCTGGTCTGGGAACGAGGCAGGCATGAGACACAGACACGACAACGCATTGCGCATGGTGACTCCGTGCCAATGCAAATCGGCACATTCCTCCCCACCGCACTTGCGAACAAAGTCCACAATACGCTGAGACATCTCCTCGACCAACGTGCGCAAGGGGGCAATGAATGACGGGGTGATATGCCCAAACCCAGCAACCGGGGTGCCTGTGAGGGGAACAAAATCCGTCTGGGAGGGGGGGTGAACATCGGCGCCAAGTGATGTGGGGGTGCGATAGGTTTCAAGACGGCGGATAGGTAACCGAACCGTGGCGTGAAAATCTGTGGCCACTGTATGGGGTCGACTGGGCCATACTTCCCGTCGGAGCGGAGA